ATTTCATTATTTGATTGTTTTATAGACCATTTAGTGAATTCGGCTAGACACATGCCAGAAAATTCTCTGAGAGATAAATTGTTGTCATCGCAAAGACCTTTATAAAGTGAATCAAGAAAATATATAGTAGCTGGAGATTTGAGCATAAATTTTGAGCTTAACCAATGCATTAATTGTAGCATTAATGGTTGAAAAATCTTTCTCGTCGCTTCTTCATGATCACAACTTAAATTTAGTAAAGCTGGACATAGCATTATATAAATGGGAACAAATCGATCCGGATTAGATGTTAAATGTTGCGATGTTTTACCAAGGACATAAACAACAATTGAATGAAGTACTTCACAAGCAATTACTTTTGTCCGTCTATCTCCAGAATTTTGAGCCAGTAAAATTATTCTTGGTAGAATTTTATCGAAATAGATATCAACTTGTGTATCTGACAATGTCAATGAATATTTGAGTAAATCTTTTTTATTCCAAGTAGCTCCTGTTTCCATAGATTTTTTATATATAAATTGCATTATTATATTAGTATCAAGTGAAGCTATAAACAATAAAATTCTCATTTGAAATCTTTCCAAAGTATTATCATCATCTCTTAATACTATTCGTTTAATAACTTTTCGCTCTGTTTTGATGATGTCTTGTAAAAATTCTATAGAACTTTCTCCACTATGCAAATATGGCTCTAAAAATGGTACTATTTCTTGCAAAAATAGAGTTATATCTTGATTATCCAAATGATTTGTCCACTTTTCTAATGCATTTAAAGTTGTACAAGCTAACTCAAAATCACTTATCCCAAAAGTAAAAGCAATTTTAAATACTGGAATTGTATTGTTCAATATGTGTTCTACATATCTTAATGGTACATTTAAAATTAAATATAAGCATGTAGTTAGTAATTCATTAGAAAATGTGGGAATCAAATCTAATACATTTATTAAATATTTATACAACATTTCTAATGTTTCTATTTCAATTTCGTTTTTTTCATTATTACTTAAAATGCAAATATGTTTAAATGTTGCATGTACTAATTTATAAAAACCTGATATTAAATGGTGCTTATAAGATATACTGATAATTTTCATTAAAAATTTGTGTATTGTGTTTATAAATAAAAAAGAATTTAAATCATTAATTATATCAACATATAAATCTACAATATTAACGAATGTTCGAAAGTCTGCTTCATTCTCGGCAATTTGAGAAAAAGCTATATCTGAAAATACATTATCTTCTTTCATTTTTGTATTCAGATTTAACTTATCAATTAATATAATGCCCACATCTATAGTTGAATCAATTATATTTTGTGTAATATGTCTATGTTTTCGATAATTATCTGGATTTAATAGATGTAACCATAAAGCCAAATAATTTTTATAACATAATGGTCGTTCTGGGAGATTATTCAATCCTCGTTGTAATTCAGCATCAACCAACAACGTATGTGAACAAGTCCATACTATTCCATTATAAACTGAATATTCAAACATATTATATATTTAAATATCAAATATCAAATTTAATAATATATATTATTATTATATATATGTATGTATTATATACTTACTTAAATTATAAAGAAATTCATCTAAAAAGTTTTTACTCATTATTTCAATATGAATTATGGTATTCATTAATGATGATCTGGCAAGATTTTGACTAGATATAGAAAAATCAGGAAATCTTTTAACTAAAAGAATACTAAGCTTTGTAATTATATTAATTTGATTAATTGAAAGTTCTGATATATGTAATATTATTTCTGAAAAAGCTTCTTGATAATCACAAATACTTTCTAAATGTGTTTTTTCTAATTCATCTCTATAATATTAAAAATTAAAATAAATTATTATATAATATTATAAATTATTATAATATAATTATATAATAAATTATTATAAAATATTAAAAAAATATATTATTGATACCTTGAACAAAGTAACATAGCACAATTAGCTATGAGTGAAAACATATCTTTCACATCTTTATTACTAAGATATCTTTTACATGGAGCAGCCATTTGACTAAATCCATATATAATAAAACGTAACATATTTGAATTTACATGATGGTTGCTTTTTAATTGTTCTTCAAAAAGATTTTTAAAATACTAAAATATATAAAAAATGTTAAATATTGTCAAATTATATAATAATTTTTTTAAAAATTACTAAAATATATATAAATACTAAAATATATAAAAAATGTTAAATATTGTCAAATTATATAATAATTTTTTTAAAAATTATTAAAAATTACCAAGAATATTGTTTTGTCATCATTAGAAGATTTATGTTTTAAAGTATTTCCCATTACTCGATAAAAACTTTTTAAAGCATGTTGTCCACATTCACTGTATTGTACATTTTTATCTTGAGCAAAAGTTATCAATAAGTCATACCAATATTTGTGATCATAATAAACAAATTCACGAAAAAGATACATATGTTTAGACAACAAATTAATTGCCGATTTCATTGAAACTTTCTTAATTGAATACTTTTTAGGATTACTTAATTCTTTAATCCAATTATATAATTCCTCATAATGTTTTTCTATTTCCATTTCCTTCGGGAGTTCTGCTAATATATTTGAAAGTGCATCCAAATATACTTGAAATGTATCCATTGAATGAGACACAGTTTTTGAATTATACTATAAAATTATAAATATAATTATGTATTATAAAAATAAAAATTTTGTTTTCAAAAACATTAAAAAATAATGTACCTGTTTTTTAATATCATTTCTTAATTGCTGAAAAATTATATTAGAATATTCTTGTATTTCTGAAACTTCTGGACAATATCTTGTAATTGTGCTAAGTACAGAAAATAGAAAACTTCTCTCTATAAAAAATCAAATTTATTAATATATTAAATCATGGAATAAATATATTTATATTAAATTGTTTATATAATATAAATTTATTATACATTCTAATATTACCTTTTATATCGATTAAATGAAACAATGACACAAATTTTTTTACAGTTTCATCTAATTCAATGTCATATTCTTTAAAAATTTCTATCAATTTATTAAATGTACTAGAGGCAGCCTTCTGAATAAATGCTGAACAATGTGTTATGAGTGCCAATTGACATGTATTCTTCAAATAAATAAAAACTTTAATATCTTATATATAAAAAGACATATAAATTTATTAAATATATATATAAAAAAATATATATTATATATATATATTAGTTATAAAAATATGAATATAAATTGTAAAATACCTTTGTTTCAATTATATAAGGTATATATATATCAGAAAACTGTTCTATGATAAATTCTAGAAGATAAAATGTTTCTTTAATTGCTATATCAAAACCTTTTTGAGCATTGAATCTTTTAAGTTCATTATTAAGAAAAGAGAGCAAGCCTTTGTTTTTATTGAATAACATAGACAGCATCAATTCTAAATACAAAAATTGCAAGTATTAAATATATATGTTCAAACAAATTTTTTTATAATTAAATATAAAAATTACATTATTTTTATATAATAAATGTAATATTATATTTTTTAAAATTATAACTTAATTATATTTTTTAAAATTATGACTTAAGAAATATTTATTATTATGTACCACTATCATCTTTTGCTATATTTTGAAAATATTTTCGACTATTCTTCAAAATTTCTATCAAATTTGTACTATTTCTTTCTATTATAGCTCGTTCAAAAATATTTATAAATGTTTTAAATGAATCCATATTTTAGAAATTGTCTCAATTTAACATTTGAAATGTTTTAATATTTGTTTTAATATTTGATATAATAAAATATTATTTCATATTTTTACATCATTTTTCATCATCAGTTTTTTTTTTATATTTTTAAGTGTTTTATATCTGCAAATAAATATAATAATATATTTAATTAAATGTATAAATATAATAATTAAAAACTATTTTGATTATATAAACAAAGGAATTTTTTAAATATTGTACAATTTAGGTTAAATGTAATTTTACATGCTTACATCATGGAAAAATATATATATATATTATGAGATTTTTTTATTTGACTAATGAGAAATATTATTTTATGTATTATCAATTTTATACATTATATATTTCTTTAATTAAAATTATTTCAAATATTTTATGAAATAATATAATACATAAAATATATTATTAATGCATGTTAACAATTAATAAAAAATACATGAAATGAAATATGTTTTTTCATTAAAAATTTTATCATCAATGACAAACTGACATATAAAAATGATTTAGTTTTCTTTCGCATATATATGTATGTTATTATAAAAGATATTATAGAAAATTATTATAGAATATTATATAAAAAATTGTAATAAAACTTAGTAGATAAAAGGAATTCTGTTTTTCACTTATATACTTATGTTTATATATATACTTATAATTAATAATCAAAAAATTTAGACTTAACTGATAAATGAATCACGTGTCATGGGTCAGCAATATAGTTATTTCCATAATGGAAAGATAAAACGTTGGGGGTATCGATAAAATTATCGAAAGAATAAAATCATCATAAAATAATATTCCAATAATTTAAATATCATTTTTATTATATCAGCTTCATTTACGTAGTACAATTATAATTTATAATAGTATACATTATAAAAGAAATTTAAGATTCAAGAAATTGTATGCATTTAAGAAATCAGAAAAATTATCGAAATTATTACTATTTTTTATTTGTTAATCATTGCAATATAACAATCAGTCTTTTAGTATTAATAAATTTAACTTTTGCCGTTGCGGAATGTATACATACATTTACAGAACGTTAATATTTTCATTTTTGGAGATTCGATTTTAAAAGCCAAAATAAAAACAAAAATTGATATATAAAAATATCAATTAAGATTTATTTATAACCAAGTTATAGTTTGTTAAAGTGAAGCGAGACAGAATGCGATAAATAAAAAAATTCTCCAAAAATGTTCTGCGAATATATTAACACCCTATATATGAATATTATGAACGACCAATTCACATTTCTCTCTTATAAAGATCTGTTCAACAGGTCTTCACGAACGTCAAGTATTCAAAACAAAATAAAATAACATATAAGATATCTACGGTTAATCATATAAGTTATCTATTTTTGTCTTAATACAAATAAATTTACAAACGATTAATTGCATAAAGTGGTTATAAATAAAGTAAAAATTTAAAGAGAAAGTAAAAGAAAGTTATGTAATAAAAAAAAACCGATTTATAAGAATCTATAATTATATTGGTAAAATATTTAGAAACCCACACTTCGGTATAATTTGTAGAATTGTAAAAAATTATCATATATTTAATAAAAAACAATTGTGTGCGATAAAAGTCTTTAAAACGAGATAGCGAAGCTCGTTAAAATTTCTTTTTATATTGTATCTAGTTCAGTCTTTCTATCATAATCTTCAAGTACAATAGCAAATTTTAGAATGAGCAATCAGAGCAACATTTCAAAAAACAAAGTGATTAATTTTGGTGCAGGACCAGGCAAACTTCCGGAACAGGTAGCGCGAACACTTTTTAATTATATACAATATGTATTACTTTTAGTGTTTTGTTTTTTATTCTTAATAAAAATACGATATTGGTAAAAATATTAAAGCATGAAAATAAGAAAAAAAAAAAAAAAATAGAAAAGAAATAAATGTTGACATATGATTTATAAAAAATTCTCTTTTAATTTTATGGATTCATATCAATTTATATTTACATTTTTATTATATTTTTTTAATTTAATTTTTATTCTTTTTATTAATATTTTAAAAAAACTTTTTTTTTAATTTTTTTAAATAATTTCTTTAAATTTATCTTTAAATAATTTAATTTTATTTTTGCTTATATATATCTGTATTTATTAAAATAAAATATCAAACAAATATAATTTTAGAATTTTATATATATTATAGATTTGATAAATTAGAATAAAGAATTCGCTTTCGTAAATTTTCAAATTCAGTTTATTCAATTTAGTTTATTCAATTTACAATATATATTTACGATATTTGTTTAATATCGTTAATATAAATTATAATTATATATAAATTATGATTAATTAAACACATACACATAATAAATACATACACATCATATAAGATATCATCTTCTCTTGAAATTAATTATTTTATTTAAGTATCACATATTTCATGATATGCAAATATCATTATATGAATGAAAATCATTATATTTCTTGTAGGTATTACAACATGTACAAAAAGAATTACTTGCATACAATAATACTGGAATCAGTATTTTAGAATTGAGTCACAGATCGATTGAATTTAAAAATATTGTCGAAGAAGCACAAATAACATTACGAGAAATACTGTAAGTTATTATAAAATAAAAATATAAAAAATTTAATTTTTTGAAAACTTCATTAACAAATATTAAAATAATATCAATAGTTTATATAACATTAGTACATCTATAATATATTTATATTTTATATATTTTTAGGCATATTCCCGATAATTATAAAATTCTGTTTATGCAAGGGGGTGGAACAGGAATTTTCGCCGCTATTCCTTTAAACATGATGACAACTGGTACTGCAGACTATTTAGTAACAGGTAAGTTCTTAAATATTCTTCTATATCATTAAATATATTTAAACTTCTGACAACATAACAAGAGATACAATTTAAAGAAATGATAATAGATTGTTTCTTGTATTTTAATATAAATAAAATTTTTAAGGTACATGGTCGGCTAAAGCAGCAAAAGAAGCGGGCAAGTATGGCAAAGTAAATTTGGTTTTGCCACAAATCACGAAATATACAGAAATTCCTGATCCGTCCACTTGGAAGCTGGATCCCAATGCATCTTATGTATATTATTGTGCTAACGAAACGATTCACGGTAATTCAATAATAATAAAATAAAATTGAGATGACAATCTAATAATCGAAAAATATATTTATATATATTGTTTAAGGAATCGAGTTTAATTACATTCCTGAAACGAATGGAATACCATTAGTTGCTGATATGTCGTCAAATATACTTACGAGATCTTTTGATGTTTCAAAAGTACGTAATATTAATTTTAATATTAATATATAATAAATTTAGAAAATGTAATGATATATTATAATCATTATTATTACTATAATATATTATATGTTATTCAGTTTGCAGTAATATTTGCTGGCGCTCAGAAAAATATTGGTCCAGCTGGTGTGACTCTCGTGATAGTAAAAGAAGATGTCCTCGGTCAAGCTATGAAAATTTGTCCAATAATATTTGACTTTACTGTTATGGCAAACGATAACTCTATATATAATACACCACCAGTATTTCAGTATGTATTTTTGATAAAAATATTAACAAAAAAATCTATTATCCTATTCGATCGAAATTTATCCTATTAAAAAATCGAAATTTATCCTATTCAATTTATCGAAATTTTTATTTCGATTGAAATATTTATTTCATAAGCATATAATATTTGTAAAATATTTTTACTAATTTTTAGAATATATGTAGTTGGTTTAGTTTTCAAATGGATCAAAAAAAATGGTAGCGTTGAAGGAATGGAGAAACTGGCAATTGCAAAAAGTCAAAAGATATATGATGTGATTAATAAATCGAAAAATTTCTATTCATGTCCAGTTAAATCGGACGTAAGAAGCAGGATGAATGTGCCATTCAGAATAGGTAAAGACGATGAAAAACTTGAGAATGAATTTCTATCCGGCGCAAGTGCGCGAGGAATGCTTCAGTTGAAAGGTCATAGGTCAGTATATTTAAAAAAAGATTTATCAAACATATAATATTGGTCTCTTAATTGAGATAATAAATAATAGAAATATGCATTATTATAGAAATTATAATTTTTCATTATTGTTTGATATATCTTATTATTTTTTAAATAAATTATAATAATATTTAATTACAGATTAGTAGGTGGAATTCGAGCATCTCTGTACAATGCTGTTACTATAGAAGAAGTAGAAAAATTGACAGAATACATGATGTGGTTCTATCAAAAATATGCTAAAAATTAACCATTCTACTATGTATTTTATTATGATTTCATATATATATATATATATATATATGAGATATGATATTATCAAAAGATTTATAAGTTCTTTACATATTTTATACAATTTGTACAATGTTTATTAAAAAAAATATTTAACAATAATGTTTATTATCTTTTTAAATTATATAAGATCATATTATATTAAGTACATATTAAGTACATATATTTTTGAATTTTATTTTAATAAAATAATAATATTATGGTTTAGATGATTTTTTACATGTACAAATTTCTCTATCTTTAGATACCCTTTCTGCAAATATTAGATCTAACTCTCTTTCAAGATTAAAATTAGTTTTACGACATCCATCAATTACAGATTTGGCCCACTGTAATTAATTCTTTTTATAAATTTGTTTATTTAATTAAATAATAGTTAAAAAAGTTGCTTTACTTCTATTTAATTACCTTAAAGTATTCTTTTACTCTATCTTGTGACCAGCCAACTGGTATGTTTTTTTGAAGATCTCTTAAATTATATAATTTATCTGCTAAGATAATCAATTTAGCTTTATGACTTTTGTTACAAGCATTCTGTATTTGTAATCTTTTGCGTTCTGCTTTATGTAAATTTTTATCATCAGTTATTTCTTTAATAATGTTACAAACCTCAGTGCCAAATTCATTTTCTATCTCTTCAAATGTAGTATTAGTATCTTCTACAGTATCATGTAAAAGAGCTGCTACAATTACAACAGGATCATAAATTTTACCTTCTTGAACCAAAATATTTGCTACTCCTAAAAAAACATTTTTAGCATATGCATTATTTAAAATTATATATTCTATTTCATTATTTAAGTATAAAACAAATTCTATTTTTAAAAATTTACAAACCAATTAGATGATTTATATATGGTGTTTCTTTCTCATCTTTTCTTCTTTGATCCTTGTGTTTTATTGCTGCAAAATTGACACATTTCATCACTATTGATAACAATTCTGCATTAGTTAATTCTCTGGAACATAATTTACAAGATCCAATCACATTGAATGGATCATGATTGACAGTTGGTATATGGATATCATCCTCCATAATTATATTATCGTAATGTTATATCACGATTTTTCACCTTATAATCAAAAATAAAAGAATTTAAATAGATATTGGCATTAAAAACTTATAAAATATTCAATGCGAATAAATTTTAATACATTAAAAATTGATTAAGAATTATATAAATTATATTTATTTAGATAAAATAAGTTTTATTAAGATAAAAAATATTTTTTTATTTATGAGCACTATAATTATTATAATATAATTTCAAAACGAAATTCATACAAATTATTTTAATTACATTAGCTGTTATTTTTAAAACTTGATAATAGAGGAGCTAGAGTTGTAGAAGATAATATATACAAAACATAACCTGAATAAGAGTTGCATTTGTTCTTTAAAGATCTAATTTAAAATGTCGCTTAAAAGAAAATTAACACAAGATGATTTACGTAAAGCTATGAGTGAACACAAAAAGAAAATAGGAGTAATTAAAAAAATTGATTCGCCATTAGCAAAATATCCTTTTTTATTATAGATATTTTAGATTAAGATTAAGATTAAGATAAATTTTCTAATTTTTTTTCATATTGTATAATTTATAATTATTAAATATTATTTTTATTTTTATTTAATAATAATAGTTATTATTATCTTAACATATGTAAATGTAAATTTATTAATCTTAATTTATTAATCTTACATTTTTAAGAATAAAAACATTAAATATATTTTGTGTTTATTCAATAATTGAATATTAAAAATAATAAAATAATTATAAAAATCCTTAACTATGATAAACACATATACAGATGCAGGACAACTTATGTGTATTTTATGCAAAAGCATTGTACGTAATGAGACAGTTTGGCCAATACATTTAAATTCAAAAACTCATAAGGAAAATGTTATTCAAGCAAAAAAAACAAAATTAGAAACAGATTCTACAAAAATTCAAATACATAAAAGGTCTTCGTCTCCTTCACAAGAATCATCAACGAATAAAAAAATCAAAAGTATATTAAAAAATTCTATACAATCAGCACAAATACCATCAAATTTATCATCAAACTTCTTTGATAATCCCTCTAAACAAGGTAATAATATGAAATTATCAAATACTTCTATGATAACAACAAAGTTGGAAAATGATAAAGAATTTGTGGTTGAAAAAGATATAAAGAATATAGAAGTAGAAGAGGAAAAAGAAAAGAAAGATACAAATCAACAATCTCTTCCAGAAGGATTTTTTGATGATCCAATTTTAGATGCTAAAGTAAGAACATTATATAAAATTTATGTATTATTAATATGATATCAAATTACATGCATTTTTTTGCAAATTTTATAGGTACGTAATGTTGAGTATAAAAATCCTATAGAAGAGGAATGGGAAAAGTTTCAGAAAGAAATCAAAGAAGAAACAGCACAATCTGCACAAATTATTGCAGATGATCAAGAAGAGGCAACAACAGAAAGACAATTAGATGAAATAGAGGAACAAATAAGACATTGGTCTAGGTAATAATAAATGCAATAAATTTAATTTATATAGAATATTTCATAATAATTAAATGAATTTTGTTTTAATAGAGTCATGGATCTAGTAAAACGTAAAGAACAAGTACAGGCTACAGACAGAAAACAGAAAAATTTGGATGAAGATATTTCTAGCGAAGACGAAATCGAATTCGATGAATTTCTAGATTGGAGGGCTAAAAATTCTTATAAATGAAATTAATTTTAATATTAATGTACAGTATTTATGGTCTTGTAAATATGTGAAATTATATTGGAATTATATTTTCCAAATACTTTTGAAATTATTCTATATTTAAAATATTGTTATACATTAATTAAACCTTCATATAAAATCTTTGGATATCTTTTACAAAATGTAAAAAATAGAAAAAAAAGAAAATAATTCTTATATAAATTAATTTAATTCTTAACTTTTTTTATTTTTTTCTATTTCCTTTTAAAGAAAAAAATGAATACACAATTTATACAGTGTATTAAGATTTTATTAAAACGAAAAGTCAGAATATAATTAAGTTTCAAATACAATTATAGATTATTAATTTATCCATTATAAGCTATAATATGAAATGTATAATATAAATATTATAATGTAGGCTAAGCTGCTAATAAAATAGTGAATAGTATATCGCTAAAAATTTAATAATATTCATTTTCGTCACATACCGAACATTATAAAATATTGAAAATTGAAAAATGAGAGACTCGCATACTCGTTTTTATCCGCACCCATCCACGCGCTAAGAAATTCTATTATATATAATTGCTAATCAGAGTTCCTCATGTAAGTTCATCTAATATTTATTTTGAATGATATATGTAAGTACTTATAATCTCTCAATAAGATACCAATTGTTGTTTAGCATAAGTCCTGCATTTTAAATATTCTTGTTTAATAACGTAATTATGTAGAGCTTAATTTTATCCTTACATAATTATTCTTTAAATCGAGAAGCAAGAGCTATATTTTATGAATATATTATATTTGTGTTTATATACCATATACATATATTATATGTATATAAATATCTCGAGATGAATGTATAATAATCTTTTTCTTATTTTTATTAGTTATTTCTAATTCGAATCATAAAATTTCATCGCGAACCGTTCAACGATCATAATTCGAATATTATTCGAAATCATTGAATTTAAGCACAAAATGCAATTAGATGAAAATTCTATGTTTATCCTTATTAATATAATTCTATAAAAGCTCAAATGTGCATATATACTATTTAGTTTTTTAAAGAGCAGACGGTGTCGATGATTAAATATAATTTATAATAATATTAATATAATAATATAAGTTATAATATTATTGCTAACATTCAGAGGAAACGACAATATTCGTTTTTAATGATATATCTTATATTATATATCATATAATCGAATAATATATGAGTGTTATGTAAGCGAAGCTGTATAGAAAAAATTTACAAAATCATAAAAGTTCGTAGTTGAAAAATCGTTTCCTCTAAATATATGTATAAATATATATATAAATATATGTGTGTGTGTGTGTGTGTGTGTATGTATGTATGTGTGTGTGTGTGTATATATATTATATATTCATATCCATATACTGTATATTTCGACAAAACACTGACGAAGATAATTTCTTCGCGGATCGACAAATTTTCATTTCTGATCAATCTGATTCAGATTATATCGACAAGGTATTGTCTAATTTTGATTTTTGGGACATTCCATCGTTGTTAGATTGAGAATTATCGGTTTTTTGTTTTGTATTGTATCTTCCGGTTTCGAGGTGTCTTGTTTCTATTGAATGCGACGAATGTGGGGAGAAAAAAGAGCATCATCGATTGAATATCCACAAAGATATCAAAAGTGATCACTTTAACATTAACGTTTATTTTAATTGTGGCAAATACTTTATATTATATGTATATTTTGTGTCATCATAGAGTGCTTGGTTGAATATAAAAAATCGATTTCGGACAACTGATCTCACGGGAACGAAAAGTAATCCAAACACTTCCCCATATTTAGATTACCATATCGTTCTTTCGTGTTTCTACAAACTGTGACATTTCAGGAAACATAGCTCGCTTGAACTTTGATAATTCAGTGATTAAAATCCACAAGAAAAAACGATTCTAAACAATATTTACTCGTTATAAAAAGTACAGATTTTTTTCTTGTTCAATGATCGATAGTAAGGAGTAATTTTTTCGATTTTGTGTTCACTGTATTTTTAAGTTTCAAGCTGCTTATATAATTGTTTATGTTGAGTATGAATTTATAATTCTAAAAAAGAAATAAAGTTTGATTGGAATACATTTAAATGATCGGCTATGATAAATTCAGATGTATCGATGATTCGATAATAAACTTGAATTCATCGTAATCGTAAATATTCTAGGAGAATTCGAAGGAAGAAGAGAGAATAACGAGAAAAGAAGGACGAAGATGCAATTAATCTTAGATATTTACATCCTTAGTGATAGGATTTAGAAATAGATCAAAACTGTTTCAATTTATGTAATATGAAACTTTTACTGGATCAAAGATATGATAAAGGCAGAAAAATTTCCATCTCTTTATAATAAGAAATTTTATAAAAGTGAGCGAGTGTCTTTGATTGATAAAGACGAAGTACCTTGCTTCTTCGTTAATTTTTATTGTGCTTCATATCATAAAAGAGTGGAGAGAAACTAACAACTTGAAAAAGCATTTTAATTGATATATACTCTAAATCTTGTTAAATTACCTTATAAATTCTTACACGTGAACGATTACTTTCCACAAAGCTGAATTATATATAAATCGAAGATATTTTTAATGGACACTTGTTAAGATATAAAGAACGTAATATAGAGTCTCGAATATTTAATTAAAGTATGGAACACCAGAGGGGACGTTCTATCCGAAAACGGAAACCTTCCCCAAATTTCGTTTGCAGATGAGATCGATCCCTCCTTGTTATTCTCTTAAACTTTTATTTAAGTGAATATTTGTTCACCTTCCATTTATAAAAATGCATCTTTTTTATCAATTTACTTATTTTTAGTATTTTTTTTTTTTTAGATATTTTTATATATATTTATTTTTATTTTTTTTTTCTAATTTTTATTTTATTTTATTTCGCCTTTAATCTTCCATGGATATCACACACGCTTTTCACGCAATTCAATTATCATTTGATAATCGTACAATAGTCATCATGATTATGTTCCATTAAGATAGTGTTAATCATTAAAAAGTTTTTCTAAATTATATAATTTTACAACGAGGATGTCATAAGTGGATTCATTATGGGTGCAAAGATAGAGTACATTAGGTGCGGGACGATAATAACTAAGCGAGTCGCTTACACGATATTAATATCCATTATCTTTGGTAAATTTTTAAGGAATAATAATAATAATAATAATAATAATAATAATAATAATAATAATAATAATAATAATAATAATAACTACTATATAATAATACTATTATTACTATTATTACTAATAATAATAAAAACAACAATAATATAATAATAATGATAGCAAGAAAAATTTTTTAGCTATACATTGCATATAGATCACAGAGTGAATATAGTCACTAGGCATTCAAAAAAGTAATCTACAAATAGTGCAAATAGTGCCAAGCCTAGTATCACGTATATATAATATATATTATATATTATATATATATATATATAATATATAATATATATTATATATATATTTAATTAATCTCATATTTCCTTTATTTAAACGCTATGTACGCGAGAGCGCAGGCACTAAATTGCTGAGATATAATCATACCAGACTATCGATGATTCTCATTTACTTATTCAGAAAAAAAAAAATGATTCCAATATGTACGTAAATATATCGATTTATATATCCTTATATATGTATAAAGTGTATTTTCGTAGATCGATATTAATTTTCTATAACGAGGTCTTGTGCAATTAATAATAATATAGTTGTACAAACGTGTACAGTCCGTTTGGTCGTATTTTATTTAAGTGAAATTTCTGGAGATGATTTTATTTTCTTTCTTTCACCCTTCTTATTTCTTATAATTCTTCTGTAACAGTTCACGCGATGAATTAGATCGATCTCTCTTCTCCATTTTGTAAATTCTTTAAAAATTTGCGCGATGTATCCTAACCTAACGCGTGAACACGTTCTTGCGATATAGTATTACTTTCGATGAAATTTTTTCCCTTAAGCAACGACTAAAGCTTGTTTCACAAGGCAGGCGACTAGAATAGAAATTCTATCGAATAAGAAATGTTTGCAAAGTTCAAAAGCGCGAGAAAATATCTCTCATGGAATACGAACGCTTGGTTAGAAGTGATAAAAGATAAGAATAAGTCAGACAAATAATCGATTATGAATGAACGAATGTAACATCTATGAATCTCACGACGATGAGAAACGATTATATCTAGTACGTGTAACGACAGATATATACATTATATATCTTTTATTGTTATACGTAACGAGAATGATCGCATACGATATCTTAATCTTTACTTTACTAACGCGAAATAGAGCTCGAAGATGTGTTTAATTATCACGGCTTAATTGGTTCGCTATACTATATGCAGCGTTAACTTCACGATGTCGGTTCAAACACTTTTCATCTGGTCCCATTCGTGTTGGCTTCTCGAAAAGAAAATCTCAGAAAACACTGTGTGTTTTTTTGGTACGATCTACCAATATTTCATCAATATCACGCTGGGAATATGTATTCACAGGAAGGACTTGTTAGGAAGATCTCCGTTGATAATAATTGTGTTTGCATCAGACACTTCCTTGATTCCTTCTTGCAATAATAACGCGTATTAGTTTTATATAAGATCAGCAAATATATATGATAAAGCATAACTATAACATCAGAATTGTATCTTTTAACTCTAAATTTTAACTTATCGAGAAATTAATTATTATGGATATTATAATCTGATGATACTCTCCTATCTAAAACATTAATCCAAAATTATTGTTGATAATTTTTTTTTTATTTCACACATATAAATTATATTTACATGTGCAAAATATTCTCAATCTTTGATGCGCAGTGGAAATGACATTTTTAGATTAAAATTAGAATTATTAAAAGATTCATTAAAATGATGGGTTCTTATTTTTGTCGTTATTAAAAATGAAGGAATTTTTAATAAAATTAATTATTGATTTTGAAAATCGATAGCTATAAAATTAATAAATTAATAAAATTAAAAAATTACTTATAAAATTAAGTATTATCTGATCTAATGAGAAAATCATTCTAGAATATAAAGCAGAGTCAATGCCACTTTAAGAAATTGATTCACATATAGTTTGAGGTTAAAAATATATAGCGTATGGTAGAGATAAAAGATAGAATTCGATGAATGTGAAGATTATTTCTTATGGAGGAGGATATTTGAATAATCCTTAGTTGATTGTAATGGATCACCGTTTGGCTATTTCGTTTAAAACGATTGTTCACACATACATATTTATATAGAAAGATCGATCAACGCGTCGAGTTTATTGGTTCGACAATGTTATTTATAAAATACGAAATCATTTTTATTATTAGCTATAGAGTGATATAGCTTGAAGCGATGATCTTTAATAAAAGTGATCATATTAATAGCGAAACGTACATTGTCGTTTGGTCCAAACATCGTGAAAACATGGCGAATCGATGTAAGGTTTTGCGTTTAATAAATAACAAAAAAACACAAACTTTGCATCGTCTTTGCTATGTTTCGTTTCCAGATTTCATTCATCTGTCTGCAATGTTAATCAATGTCAAACGAACGCGAAGAAGTTTTGTACCATGATAAACGATTCATGAGACATAACTTTCTTTTCTTTTATTTTTAGAAGAGTTTATACTTGTCTTTCAATTTTCTGTCTTTTTTTTTTAATACAACCAAATTTAAACATATGGTAAATTTAATTTCAAGATTCCTTTCACAATACTTTTTAAAATATATCGTAGATTTTTCGATATTAGATTTTCTTCTGCAAAATATTTCGAATATTAAAATTTTTTACATAAAATATGTTTATTTGATTTTATCAATATCGCAAATATATCCGTTAATTCTTTATCGAATTTAACATCTTTTAAACATAAAAATTAAACAGTGATTATCTTACAATCAGTACGAATTATAATATAATTTCTCTTATTTCCTAAAATTCTCAAACTAAGTATTTCTGCATTAAGCATAATCTATTTTCTTCACATTAAACTTTGATTTATAATCGATAACGATAACAAATGGCCGGATAAGTTATATGCAAACGCATGTCAATCAGAAAAATTCTTTGTACCAAAGCAGTAGACTAAGACTTAAAGGAGCGAATCTTTTCGAATAAAAAAGAGAAAAGGGATTTATGTGAATAGGAATTTGTACATTTTGAAAAAGAGATTGCGTAAAATTGCTTTGAAGACGTCTAGACGATTCTTTCTTTAGGGCGACTTCACAACCGTCATTGGAAAGAGAAAGGTGTAGCAACGATGGTCGTGGATTCCCAGTGGATCTACGCCTTAGCCTCGAGAATTTCAACGGTGACATTTTCCGAATGAACAGTTTCAGACATGGTATTTGCTTGATTAGGTGGCGATTTGTTCGATTTCGTTGAGACGGCTGACGCATTCCCACTGCTACCCCGACTTCCCCGTCGTGATCCTGTTCGTGACCCTGGTGACAGACATTTTCTTGCTAAAGTATCGCGTGCTTTATAACGACCATATACTTTTGACATGACACGAAAAGCTGAAATACAGTCGAAAGCATGAAGAATCGTGCCGAGAGAATATATAAGTTCGATCGGAGCGAATTCTTCGTTGCGATTATGAAAGAATTACAGCAGCGGTTGTATATCGAAGAATATTTTCGAATTAAATTCAATTTGATACATTATTAAAAAAAGAAAGAAAAAAAAGAGAGAAAAAGAAAAAAAATGCAATATAAAAATAGATAATATTAAACTATGAATTTTTAGAATTTTTTATAAAAAATTTTTATTTTGTTTTCTGTGTATTTTTTTTTTTTTTTTTTAATAATTGATATCGCTTCCAAACGCCACTGTGTGCACATGCATAACAATTGTCTAATTCTACAAGTGCTCGAGAACTTGAACTGTTAAAAGATGTTTGAAGTAATACTTGACTCGATCGATTTCACTGTCAATGGATCTTTAAAAATGAGAATGGTTGCAAATTCACATTCACGAACTAAAGGATCCGGCTTACATTGAGATTTTAATTAACCATTTCCAATAAAATAGATCGATAATCTATCTTACCGTATAACCAGAATACATTTCTCGAATGCGATCTGGTCTCTTGAAAAACTACTTCAGAACTCCGTGCGATAATGGAAATATACGCATATATGTATAAAGTATAAAGAATCGATTCTATCATCGATTCTTGTTACTGTAACTCGTGTATTTTACTATTTTCTAATTCGATTATACGGAGGAAATAATAAATTTATTTTTCATAACGAATTCGTATGTTAATTGTAAAAATAGTAAAAATAATTATTACTAATTATGTTATATTTTTTGATATAAATCGACTGAACGAAATCAAATATTGAATGATAAATTTTCTTATTCCCTCCCAATTTGATCTATTATTTTATCAAATTGTTATTTTTGTAAATCAGTAATTGAATAATTAATTAAACTGTATATAATTGGTTTCAAATCACGATTTCTACGATAGAACATCATTATATACAAGCAACGATTTTTTACTGTAGCAAGCAACTATAGTTGTGATCCTCGAAAACGCTAGATAAAGAAGACTCTGATCTATCTGTATCTGTAGAAACACACACTTCTAAGCTCGAAGTTCTGACGTATCCGAAAGAGGGTAAGTAACCTTAATAAGGGTTATGTACAAAATACACATATATAATATACATATACTACGATAACACCGTAAATTATATAGAAAAATATAATAAAAACTGGTAAGAATACGAAACTTACCCTCTTCGAAGGACGCGTCAATTTGAAAAGTTTTTTACAATAGAGCACCTCATAGGTCCATAGTATATAATCCGTAGTATATAAGATAATCAAGAACAATGGTCACAGACGGGATCATTAAACAGACTACTGCTATAGATGATCGACTGTAAAGAGAGTCAAGTCTATTAAAAAAAGGAAACATAATTATGGAAAGTTGAGATGCATCGTTTTATTGCGATACTTTTTTAAGGTTAATTTTGCTATTATTTGATCTTTGATGACTTCTTAAACCATTTAACCTTTAATCTTTTGACCATATTTTAAATTAAAAATCATTGAATATAATAAAATTTTTAGAATCGAAATTAATAGGAATTACTTTGAATAATTGTTAATAAACAGCTAAAGAATTATTGATAGGTTATAAATTATATTCTTTTAGCTTGTTTATTTTCACATTTGAGTTTTATTTCATTACGAGTTTTGATGCAATTCATTTAATTATTGCCCCATAACTTCATAAAATTAAAATAGAATGAAATATTTTAATTGAAATTAATAAAAAAATATGATTTTTATGACATTATCGACGTATGATCGAGAAAAAAATTTTTCTAGAAGTGGTTTTCAACAATGATGTTGAAAACGATGCATTTAAAGTATAATACATCGATCTCGATGCACTCTCAAATTAAAAGTAACCAGCAAATATCTATCCTTTTGGCAAGCAATTGCATGCGAGATGAGAATATCTGAAAGATTCTGAACTTAATAGAAGAATTCTAAAGTACAGAGTAGAATAGGCAAAAATAGGTAATTACCTACTTTGCGATATTTATATCTATATAAATATATGGGATGTTCTACGGAAATCGATATATTAGAAAATAGCTATTTTTAATACTAGCTGATTAGCTCGAGGAACATTCCAACCTTCTCTTAATTTTGTAGCTAGAATTTACAAAATTAGATAATTAATTATTGGAACAATATTTTTGAAAAAGAATTATGATCAAAATGATTACTATTTTTTTTTATTCTTGGCTATATGATTAAAAACAAAAAATAGAAAATACAGATTGTGCGAATTATAATATTGGATTAAAAAAAAAATTTAAAAAAGAAAAAAAATTATGAAACTTTTAGGTCATAATGATGAATACTAAAAGAGGAAAACAATGATAATATCTGTACTCTACACACACCTGACATAATCATTGCATTTTTTAAAATATATAGTCTGTTCATGAATTACGTACGAAATGATTGCTAAACAACTGGTTCTACACGTATATTTCCCGATATTTACCTTGAATATTTCATGCAACACACATGTCTGCGAGGATATAAGTAGCCAACTATAGTGGCAGATACTATCCTGTATAGAACACAATTACTCGATAATAGGAAATAGAAGAACGTTTATTCGGTCTTTTAACCTGCAATAATCTATAAATTTAAAACTATTGTTGAATGAAATAAAAAAAAAAAAAAATAGAAACAGAAAAAGAAAAAAAATAGATGAACGACAAAAAAGTAAAGAAAATTCCATTGTACTTTTCCCTTATCTTATTTTTTTTCATTTTTTAAACAGGATCCGTTCCTGACGGGAGATGTCTCGATTTCCATCGAACACCCGATATAAACTGGCACGTAAAAGAGTCGCTTGCTTTGTTTCAACGGGACACTGTATAACAAGTTGCTTGCTTAGTAAGTGAATGAATAAAAACCCGTACGGCTCACTCTGTGCTGTGAGTGCTGAGAGTGTTTCGCACCTTGCGAGGCATTCGGCGAATGGGCACGTAAGGAGGCCATCGAGGGTTGCCTCGAGGGAACTCGTACGCTTGCCCTTGAACCGCGTCTTTCCTGCGGATGCAGGAGCTTGTTCTCTCTTAGTAACGATACGTTCATTAGACGGGCGTTCGGGGTGTTAAAAATTGTACGATTTTCGCGCCAACGAGCTCTGAAACAAATTGAATAAGAATCATAAAATTGTGTGTTAAAATTTATTCTTGAAAATTTATTAATCTGATTTATGTATTTATTAATTGTAATTTAATTTGTAATCTTGACAGAATAAACAATAAAGTTTAGAAATAAAACAAATATCTAATATAGGAGTATTGAATGATTCATGTAATAATAATGACTCTTAAAATAAATTTTATTAAAATTTATTCAAATTTAAATATTTATGATAGTATAAGAATTTTCATGCTCATGTCTATTCATAGTTTTTTTTAATACAATACATTTCTAAAAAAAGTTTCTTTATGAAATAAAAGATCTCTCATATTTGAATAATTTGATAATGTAGTTACTTCAAGATCCAGATTTTGTATTCTTTTGAATTTGTATGACTTTGTCAAGAGTGCAGAGAATAAAAAAGCATTAAATTTGCATTAGGCATACGACATCAACGGTCCATTTTCACATTTCCTGCCAAGTAGAAGTAGGTTATAAACTCTCGTTATGAGAATTGCTAAGAAGAGAATCACCGTGCAAAATATGCAAATAGATGGCTTACTTGCTGAAAAGCCTAAGGACGACGCAGATGATGATGAACATGAGGGCCATACCAACGAGAACACCAATCATCGTCGGATCGATATATTGAAGATTGGGTTCCTCTTTTTGCTCAGCTGAAACATATATTTCATTTTCTTAATAATTCTTAATAAATTAATAATTTTCATAAGTCTTTTTTTTTTTATATAATTCCATTCGTAATTAATTTTTGTTTAATATTTTCTATTTTTATCAAAAATGATTTATCAAAGATTTTATCAAAAAAATTAATTTATTTCAAAAGATAACTTTAAAGAGAAAATATATAATTACAATAATATTCAAGCATTTTAATTTTTTTGTGATTAATAAAAGTTATTTTTTTAAAAGTATGTTCTTGATTGAGATAAACTTGACTTTTATGCTTTAATTCCTATATCTTTCATTCTAATAATCAATGATAAAAATTTTCGTTAACAATAATAATTAATATCATTTTTTATATGAAATAGGTGATTAGATTAGATTTATAATTAATTGAAATGTTCTAATAAATAATAAACATTTTTATACAATATAATACAATATAATTCTTTATAATTTTTTATTCAATGAATACGTTTTGTAATTTATGACTATTAACATTAATAACAATTCTATTATATTGTTAATCTTCATATTATCTCTTGTATTCAAAAACATAATATATTTCTTATTTTATTGTCATATGTTATTTTAATATCTATTCTTATTTTTAATACTATTTTTTTTTTATTTTAATAATATTCTTTTTTTTAATAATATAAGATATATCTTTCATTTTCAGTTCTTTGTAATAGATGATAAAGTTAACTAATTTTGATATTTTTTTTTATCAGATACATATATTTATTGAAACAAAATAACCTATGTATATATTTATTAAAACAAAATAAATTCATATTATTATATTTAACCCAAATTAATCTCACCCAAAAGCGAAAGAGCTTTTTCAACATGATGAAATTGCACACACGTGTCACCCATTTAATTCAATTTACAACGCTAAGTTGAAAATAAAAGTGTGCAAAATATCAAAGTGACGTGCTTTTAATTTCTACCGCACCGGAAATGGAGAATTCGCCATTTCGTTATTCCGTTTCGCGTTTGTTAATTGATCGCGTTAAAACAGTTGACGAATTAATGAACTTCGTCGTAGAATTTTAGGCCGGAATTCCATTAACACGGAAACGAGTTGCGTAGGTGGACGCGAATGAAATTTCATTAAAAAGTACGCGAAAACTTGCGGAGCCTTCCTTTCCCCAATTGTTTCATTTTTTCTTTCATTTCTTACCGACACACACAATCATGCCGTCAGGTTGGGTAACCGGAATCTTCTCGAAGATGCAAATACAACGATTGTCCCTGCATTCGGTTTGGCTCACTCTAGCTTCGCATTGCTCATGGAAAAAGCATGACTCGTTCACGTTCACCGCTGAAAAACACAAACCATTAACGACAGCTTCGCTTCCTCGTACCATTCTTGTCGGCAAATATTTCACGAATTGTTATTTTTATAAAAAGTTATAGTTTCTTTTTTAAAAGTTTATTACCGATTTCTATTTCTATTTTTAAGAAGTTATTGGATTCGCGTATGTATTTTATTAACTATTGCTAAATTCTGAGGAAATGACGAAGAATAAACAAACATAAAGAGAAATAATTGATTTTTAATAGTTAATTTTTTATTTACTTTTGGCATCCTTCGATATTAAAATTATCAAGATTTTTTCGATATGTCAGTTCTATTCGTATTTAATTAGAAAGATAATCCTTTCTATGATTTGACGAGAAGCTTTAATTAATTTTTTGATAAGCTTTAATTAAAAATGAGTATTTAGATACAAATCTTTTACATTGATTTGATAAATTTTAAAAGTTAATGCGTTTTATAGGTTTTTTTTATTATTTCTAAACGATATGAGTTATTCATGAATGATCTAAAAAATTTCAATTTCTTTTTTAATTATTTTCAATTATATTGCCCTTTTTTATTATAATATTAATCTTATCTCATCTTCAATTTCGAAAAATAAGAAATTTAATATTAAAATAATATAATAATATTTTTTTATAATTTTAATTTGAAAAAAAAGCAAATTATAGTAAAAAATCAATTTGTTAATATAACTTAATATACGTTTTTATTGTACTTTTATTTATTTATGAATTATTATATTCAAAATTCTTTATCGAGTGATTCAGAAATAAAGTTTTGTATAATATATTGTACATCTACTATTTTTTATTTATTTTTATTTTTGAATTTATATCATTTATGTTTGAAAATTATTTGTATTACTACAAATTTATTATATTTCGATCTTTTTTAAATTCAATAAAAGTTGTTATAATTAATTGGACTTTAATTAACTCCTTAAGATTGAAGCTTCTATTCTAATTTCCATTAATATTTATAATAGATACATATCGAACAGTATAAACTTATAAATAACTAAGAGTAAAGTATATTTCTGTATAATTCTACAATATTTTCTTTTTGGTTTCCAATTCTTTCATAATATCATATCATGTATCTACATATAAATTTTCCTTATTGGAATAATATATAATATGTAACATGCATCTCGACCTTGAATGACATTCACATCTAATCTCTTGGCAACTAAAAGGCGATTATTTGAAACATTATCGATCTGTCAATCAATCATATGATGACCTGATACCCTACTGTTATTTCTAATTCGTCTATCGTTATAAGGTCAGTTCTATTTTATAAAATTATTATCTAATTTGAATATTCAAGTTCGCGATTGATCTGTATAGTGTTAGAAATCAATATATAGTCATCATTCATCAATGTAAGAAGGAATTATTTCTCTGTTAGCGTGCTTGCGGATGATAGTGTATATCCAGAGGTTAATGTGGTAAATCTGATCTACTGATTATATGCCACACTGTCCTCGATATATCGACCACAGGCTCGCAATTAGGAAGCTTAATATTGATTGAATTTTAATCCTAACATATCAATATATATTTTCATTTATTTCTTTTTTCAAATTATTAATGTATTTTTATCTTTGTTACATCTATATTTGAAATGATAAAAACTTGAAATTTGATAAAAACTTATTTTCGTCATGGATATACTAAAAAAGAAAACGTGAAACCGATTTTATCCAATGATATTTTTAATAATAGAAATTTTTTAATGTTGTTACTTGTTATGTTGGTAAGCATCATTTTAATTTCAAATCCTTTTTAAAGAATTTTTTGATTTAACAGATAAAAAGATAAAAGATTTTGTTTTTCTAAAGAACATATTTTCAATCATTTTATTAATATTAAAATTTAAAATTTATAAGTAATATTATATTTTAATAAGTTTTTTTTAATTTTAATAAGTTTAAATTTAAAATTTAAAATTTAAAAATTTTACATATGTTGTTTAAAATATCACAGTTTACATTTTTAACTCCAAAAGCTTTAATTTCGATAATCCTTGATAATAATCCTTGAGCCTTGTTTATAATATTCTTTCATTAATATTTACATGATTATATATATATATCAATTATTTAAAATTAATATTCATTATTATTATTATTATTAATTGGAATTTCTCCGTTAATATTTGTAATAATATTATTATAATGTTTATCACGATTTTAAGAAAAATTTTCAATAAATGTGTATAAAAAATAATTCAACCGATATGATAACATTTACAAATTTAATTAAAAACGTGTGTACAATATAATTTGGATCAGTAAATTCATGCTTTCATTCTTGTTTTTAATTTTTCACGATGCTTCTAATGCCAGAGACCAATAAAATCGCTTTCTTTCGTTTAGATTCCACGGAAGAAAGTCATAAACAACTATCCATAAGCATTCATATCATTCCAATCGTAAAATTTGGTCGCGTTAAAGAGAAAAATTCCATTTCCTATACGTGACTTGACAACTTATTTTATTTCTGCATTTTATAAACTGTTTTCATCAATATTTTATTTTATGATAATAATAATAATAATTAATAATATATCATTAATAATATATCATAATTTTATATCATTAATTTATAATATTTTATTTCATATTATTTTTAATATCTTTTGTTTTTTCGTTTTTAATTTTCAATTAGTGTCATTAAATCATTAATTATTTTAAAAAATTGTATTCGATATTTTTAAATTTAATTGAATCATTTTATGTTATATTGCTCCTTAACAATAGAATAAAATTATAGAATTAAAATTAAGGAATTCAAAATAGGAAAAAAATATAGAAAATAATTAATCTATTATGATCAAAATTTTTTTTAAACTTTGGGTATCAGACATAGAAAATATTTATGTTATATATTTTAATAATAATTGTAGATCTGTTTTAATTAGAATGTTTAGTAATAAATGAATTGAAATCTCTAAATTTGTAAAATAATCGTTAAATTTATATCTCCAATTTTTATTGGATTTTTTTTATCTTTTGATTTATAATTTTTCTTTAGATAATCTTTTAATTTTATCGATTTATAATCAAAGATAAGAAAAGCAGATTAGTATAGAACAACATTCGCAAAATGTTAAAGAAAAAATGTAATCTGGAACATATAAATGCAGTCTTACTAATGGCTATTTCAAACATGATATGTAATTATATTAATAAATATAATATTACGAGATATTCAATTTATTTTATTCTTTTTTGAGACTGTCTGATCTCAAAGATCATAACATGATATATGTTTAAATTCATATGTTTACTATATATTTTTATGTAATATAAACAAATTTATAATATTTCATTTAAAAAAACTAGATCACTTTTTTAAATAATATTATAAATATAAAAAATTTGCATATATTATCATGTTCGTTATAAGAAATATTAAAACTTCTTTTGTCATTTTTTTCAAAAATTGATCATTTTTGAAAAAATGAATTGATCTAATATAATCCTCAAATATATTGTATATCTTGAATATCTTGTATAATTGTTGATTCGTAATGAATTAGCTATAATGTATCTTTTTATTATAATATATATTTTTCTATGTTGACAAAATAAATTATTAAATTCTATTTTTAGCTTTTTATTTCAATTTGATTAAATTAAATTGATTTATTCAAACAATTACGTATTATTTAAAATATTAAATAAGAATTGATATTATCGAAGTCGAATAAAGATTGACACTTACAAAGTAATGTCGCGCTTGACAATATACTAACTTACGGTGTCCACATTTGTCGATATGATTCGTTGCCTCGAATTCCTCCCTACACGAACATTTGTTCTTTTTTGGCTCGCAATAAGAGCCAGAGAAACTGCATTCACGATCTTCCACGCAATCATCGCCAAATTTCTTCGTTCCCCTGTCGGTTAAGTCTGCAAAAAGATTTAATGGAATATTTAGAATTTAATTCTCTTAAACTAATATTAGTAGTAAGAACATAGAAGATTATTTCTTTCAACAAAACAATTTCTATTCATATTTTTTTTACAATTAATTTGTTTATAAAATTATTATATATTATCAATAATAAAAAAAATAAAAAAATAATAAAATAAATTAGAAAAAAATGTTTGATTTCTTTTTTCTTTAAAAAAAAGAATACTTAATATGCTTAATAATCTTTTATTTACATAAGAAAAAGATAATAGAAATTAAATTTTAAAAAGCTACTACTAATTCATCAAGTAATCAATATAATTTTAAATTGATTTATTAGAATTAACAGCGTGAATCAATTATCTTATAAACTCTTTTTTTTGTTTTAACATATTATTCTACAAAATTTTATAAAATATATTTATATAATAAATTATATAAATATTCAATCCATATGTCAAAAAAAATTATACATTAATTTTTAATAAGAGAAGAGTAAATCTCTTCAAGATATGTATCAAGATATCTAGAAAAAATTTCGAGATTTCAAGATTTTTAAAAATATTAATTATAAAAATATTGATCCTATGATTTTATGAAAAAATCATATAAAAATATTTCGTCATTGTTACTAAACAAAATCAAAATCCTGAATTAAATACTAAGATAAGATAAGATATATTTTAATATTTTAATATTTTAATCACTTTAATGTATTCTGTATAATGTAATATAATGTCATAATGTAATCTATGAACTATTTTTCATTATTTTTTTGAATAAATATTTTTAATAAATAAAATTTTTTATTATAGAAATTTTATTATAGAAATTTTTATTATAGAAATTTCTATCACCAATAAGCAAAAAAACCTGAAACCAAAAAAACTATAAGACATTAGAAGTTTACCATTTTTTAAAAAATAGATTGATTTTTAAAAACAATTCAAAAGAGACAGTACAAAATATCTTGCAGAATTTAAATTTAAAAAAATTTATTCGATTTTGGATAAATGTACCGAAATCATGGAAATGAGATAATTTGAAAAAGAATAATTTTTTCATCGTTTTTTTCATCTATATTATTTTAATACTATATATTTTATCTTCAAATATTATGTAAATATTGAAATAATATTAAAAATTTTTTTAATATTAAAAATAATATTAAAAAAACAATTCACTATATATTATCATTTCGCACAATAAAAACTTATTAAAATTAACTTATGATTAAAATTTATTTTATTAAATTATATAATTTAGTTATCAACAAACATATAAAAAATATGTTATTTCTATATATTTTTATTTTACAATAATTTTTTAATATAATAAACAAATTTGAAATAATATATTTTATTTTAATAATATATATTCTAAGAAATATTTAACTTCAAATATTTTTCTTAAAATTAATTTTTTTCACTGAAACTTTTTGCATCTAATTCGTTTATTCTATTGATTAATTTTTATAAAAACTTTTAAATTGTTTTAATCATATTAAAATGAATATAATAAAAAATATCTGTATATTCAAGATGCATACAAATTTGCTTATGATGATTGCATTTATTTTCGCATATATATATATATACACAACTGTGTAACGATTTCATTTTATTTCTAATAAAATATAATTACATTAATTATAATATTCTAAAGTATCTAATTTCTTTCTTTCAAAAGGATAGAAAAATTAAATATTAAAAAAGAATTGGCAAATTGCAAAATTTAATTTTTTAGGCCAATATCTTATCTCTTTTGAAATATTACAATTTGTAAATTAAAAAATCTAAAAGTTAAAGTAGCAACAAGAAATATAAATGTTCAACAAGAAATTTCTTATGAATAATTTAATCAAGATGTAATCAACTGTTGAACAATCAACTATTGAATTTCTACCGATAAATCACTTTCGAAACCAATGACGGATATAGATCCCACAATCGAATCGTAATTCAGCCAGCCGGTACGTTCTAAGCAAATATATCATCCTCCCTAGTGTTTCCAACTCCCTATCAGGCATTCGCATGACGAAATGTTTTGGTCTTATTTTGTAATTGTGCTGCAGATATATATTTACATTTTACGATTTCCATTCGTTAATATTTGCAGTTAGATGCGAATTCCTTCGAAATTAACCTGTGTGGCAATCTATTAATTACGAACAAATACACATAAAAAAAGTTATTTTGTGTTATCCGTTCTATGTATATTATATTCAATAAATTAGAAACTATACAATTTTCTTGAATCACTATATTGTTGAACAAAATTAATTCAATTAAATTAATTAAGAGGAAATAATTATTATAAAATAATTATTAGAATATATTAGAAGTTAATTAAAATTTTTATATTTACTTTGTAGTTAAATTATGTAAAATGTATACATATAAATTTTTGAATAAATATTTGTTAATTTGAAATCTTTCTGTATTTATAAAATTCATTTATTATTTTTTAAAAATTTTTTAATTATATTAATTATATTTTTAATTATATTTTTAATTATATGTAAATATGTATATGTATATATATAATTCATCTTCAATATAATTTTTGTTTGATATAAAATATTCCATGATATTTTATAATTTTATAATTATGATATTTTATAATCCTCTAGCATAGTATTACTTTTTTTATATTATATAATATGATTTTAATGACTTAAACTTGTTATTTATTCTTTTTTTATTATTTATATCAGATTTATGTGATTATTGAAATAAAAATGACGAATAAATTTTTTTATAATAACATTTTAAATTGTTTACTTTAAAATGGCAATTGTTGCACTATATATAAGATAGATAAAAAGTTTTTTTATCGATAAAAACATAGTTTTCCTTTCATTTTTATTTAAAACTATATTATACTATATTGTTATATATAATATTATATCATTCAAACAAAATTTTTTATTCAAATTTATTATTTCGGAATTTTTTTAGGTATGATATCAAAATGAATTATGATTATTTTTCACGGAAATGAATGATTTTTAAAATCCCTCGAACGCTATCAATAGAATGTCGGAAGGCTTTAAGCTCTTCAGGAGACATCAAAGGCACCATTATAATATTTTCAAAATAGTGAATGTCAAGTAAAATGAAATATTATCAGTATTTTTAATTTTTTATTTTTATTATTAAAAAATTTTCTAGTAAAGAATTTTTCAATACATTTTAATTTTTTTTCTCATTTAAAATAATTTTAATTAAAAAAAAAAAAACGTACATATATCTGTCACTAAACATTTACATATTCTGAAGAGGTTAAATATAATTTAAAAAATAAAATAATCTTAGACAATTGAATTAATAATGATTAAATTATGATTAAATTTATAACGTCGAAATTTATAAATATAATCGAATTTCAATGTATAATTAGAAACTAATTATATATCGGAATTATCCAAACATTAACGATTTTCAAAGAATTTATATTACTAATCGTCATTTATTCTCGCGAAGAATTGATGACATAATATAATTGATGTATAATATATTTATGAAAGTTCTTGAATTATTTTTTGTATTTTATTTCAAAAACTGTTTATTTTTGTAAAATGATTTTCGACTTTTTAGCGATTTAGAAAATTTTCAACATGATAAATTTGAATAAAAAATTTTGCTTGAATAATAAAAAATAATAAATAATAATAAATAATGAATACTGAAATACTAACTTTTAATTTTATTTATATTTATGTTTCAAATTATAAGATAAATTAATAATTTAGATCATGATAAAATAGATGATGTTCATTTCAATGAATTTAAAATAATTTAAAAATTAAATATAATTTTTATAGATTTCTTATTTAAAATGTAATTTTCCATAAAGTTGTAAATAGCTTCTTCTATTAAAAATTATATTTTTCTGAACATGAATAGGACCAATTTAAAACAAAAAAAAACTGTGTTCTTCGTTGGTGTTTAATAATATGATTATTGTATACTTGATATCATGTTTTTCATACACTTTTCGTTTATTTATACATTTTACTTCTTTATTTATTTATATGATATCACAACATCAGAATTACATAACAAATTATAATTGATAATTTATATAAATAAGAATCTTATGTGGGAACTATTTCGAACGAAAAACCACAATCATTCCTGGTATATAATGTAAAATTCATATCGATTAATAAGAATAGTAAAATTTTCTTTTTGTGGCGTGCATTAATGTTTCAAGTATTATATTACTCATTATAATATTTTAATATTAATTATATTATTGATTATAATTCTTTATAGTGATTTCTAATATTATTTATATCTATATTTGTTTTTGATTTTTGTATGAAATTTTTTGTATTATTCTGATGATTCTATTTTTTATTATCTTTACAATTTTTTTTATCATTTTTTGATATGATTTTAATTATCGGCTAATCGATTGGATTATGAATCAAGGATTATAATATAAATTGATAATTATCATCCATTGCGAATTACTATCGAAATCGATGAGAAAATCGGAAAGAAGGTAATTTTTCTACAACTTTATTATTAATAAAAATATAACTATTAATAAAAATATATTATATTATTTAACAAAATCTAATATTGGTTTTAATTGATTGATTGATTGAGAAATCCTTAATTTATTCGTTTAATTGAATGTATATATATATATATATGTTCTTATTATTTGTCACATCAGTTTTTAAAGAAGGAAGCTATTCTTAAAATATACCTGAAATATTTACTTTCCATTTTTTATTTTGTTTGATAGTTATATGTATTGTTCTTAAACAATCATTGATTGTTTAAGATCATTGATTGAAGCTTATATATAGAAATAGATATGAAAATAGAAAAGATTCGTTTAATAATAAATAAATATAAAATGCTATTCGAATTAACAATGAATTGCAGAGTTTATTTCTTTTGAATTAATATTTTAGATTTGTTGCTATTATTTTGATCGTATAATTTATAATTGAAATAGATGATAGATCCAATAATGC